TCTCCGTCCATAGAGACACAAATGCCCCACTTAAAATTTGGTTTGAATGACAGGTCTGCAGTAATATATACACTTATTCAAAATATATACATTGACACTATGTTGGTGTTGTATTTGGTATATAGGTGGATCTGATTGAACATATTAAATGAACTTGAATGGGCAGAGGGGTGTTGATTACCAGGCGTAACATTGCCGCTGTAATGTATAAACCTCAGAAAAAAATGCCGGCTTTTATGCATATCTAAAATCATGATTTGGGTCTAGAACACTTTACCAAGGTCTTGCTGACTCATAGCTAATTCTGCTGAGCTTGAAAGAGAGAGGAGTGGGCAGATAAGTGGATTAACTTGTGAAGGCTTCATGGACTGTTTGAGTCACCCCAGCCCCCCTTCACAAGCACTCACTCATCGTAAACCTCTATGGCTCATGTGTACAATTTCTGTTGAATATAATAGTGCCTTTCTGAAGCGGCGCTCCTCCTGTGTTCGTCTGGTTACGCCCGGCCAACCTCGCCTGCCTTTTTTTTTAGTTCTCTGCAGAGCTCTTGCATGTCATTTATCTTTCATTTCCTTATTTCTCCCTCCCTCCCTCCCTCCCTCTCTCTCTCTCAGTAGTGCATAAGCTGTTTGTTGCTTTCTTTTGACTGTTGCTTTCTTCGCATCTGGAGACTACAGTACATGTATGTGTGTGCATGTCAATCACTCATCCCTCCTCAACACTTAAATGTTCCATTGAGCAGCATGTTTTGTACTCTTCCTTATCAGTGAATGAAAGGGAAGCACGGATGCAGGCAGTGAGTCTTGGTTTGGTCTCTTGTTATTTGCATGCAACTGTTAAAGCCTGTAAAGTCATGTATATACAAGGGGTTGCATAGATCCTAGTCGACTAATCGAGTGGTCAATACTGAGGGAACAGTTGAGGACAGTGCCTGAGCTTAGTAATGAAATGCAGTGGAGGAAACAGTAGTAAACAGGCAGGAGAAAGGAAGCAGTTCTTATGCTAAGCACAAAATCCGAAGTACTTTTAGTGTGGAGTATTTCACAAGCTGAATTGTAAGCTGCAAGCTCATAAGAGAGACCGTGCAGGTTTTAAGAACTGCCTACTTTAACAGGAAAGGGTGGCTTTGATTGACATGCAGAACAACCAATCACAAACCCTGTTTTTGTGCTACATGTAGGGGCAGGCTTACGTAAAACTGTTTTTTTGCTACTAATAAAGTAAAACTAAATGCTTGATTGCTGTGTCCTACTCCGAAGGGCATTCTGTCACAATGTGCACAGATGACAGTTGCTGCCCTTTTTTCAACAAGCTGTTAACCCTAATTTTAATTGATATTAGAACATACTTGTTGTCTATTAGCATAAATCGTACATGTGAAAAGATGTAACACATCGTCGCTATTATATTAAAACCTCAGAACTCATTTTATTTTTTTTTTTAAAAACTTAATTGGTTCATGTCTCTGGTTGTTTTAGGCACAATTGATCATATTTTACCAAAGTCTTCTTTTCCCATAATTTTCCATTGCAATGTAATAACTTTTGGCTGATTCTAAAATGTCTTCTGTCTATTAACTGATAATGTAATATCGTATTTCTTCTCCTCCAATCAAATCCTGATGGGTTTAATCAAGTCCTGCTGTAGATTATTTCCCACCTGAATATCCTGTTTCACTTGGAAATATTATTGAAGGAAAATGCATTATTTGAATGTGAAAAATAATAAAAGCACAAGCCAGATTTTGTTACCATTCAGTTCTTCTCGAGCTGAGGAATTAGATCGATGCCAAGAGAAAATGTGATTAACGTTAGTGTTTTTGGACTGCCTGACTTGACATGTTGAAGTATTCTGTTCCTGATGTGATTCACATACTGGCATCTGATGCGACACATGCAGTAATTGTTAATCCCTGTCTTTCTCTCCCTTCCTCTTTTCCTCTGGTCTATTGTTTTGTCATGTTTTTTCTCCTAACCACCCCTTAACCAAAGTGGCATTGGTAAAATGTGATGAAGCTCTTTTATTATCCACAGATGGGCCAAAGTGCTCTTGGAGAAGTGTGTGGGTGGGGTTGATGGGAGTCAGAGCAAATGATACAGGATCACAATGACACAGCTAATGGACCATTTCAGATGTATTAGTATTGCTAGCTATCAAAGGCATGCCGAGCTCACTCACTCATTGACTGTGTAACTGAGAGCTTTTGTTAGCATGAAATTCCTTGTATATAACTGGTCGCTACAATTAATCAATTAAATTATGTTTAAAAATTAATTTCAGTTTACCTTCTCGGCAGTGATCGCATTGGGTGATGAGGGGAGGAGTGGGGGCCATCCTACCCACCCAGAGAGCGAGGCCAATTGTGCTCTCTTGGACGTCCGGTCACGGATGGCTGTAGTATCACCAGGGATCGAACTCGCGATCTCCTGATGATAGGGCCAACGCTTGACAGTTGCCGGAACCCTCGGGAACCCTAATTTATTTTATTTTTTACAATTTAAACTCAATTGAGTCATGTCCAGGGTCACCAGTTATCTCCCCGTACCAAACGATACAAAACTGAGAGCGTGAAGCCTAGCACATGCTTCCTCCGTGTCTCATGTTGCAAGTTTTCAAACAACCACTAACACCATGTCATTGGACAGCTCCGCACACTAGTAGGAGAGTTCTGTTCATCAGTGACCAGATTCTAGCTTTGGCTAGCATCACACTGAGTGATGGAGGGGAAAGGGAGGACCATCTTACCTATCCAGAGGCAGCGAGGCCAGTTATGTTCTCTTGGACTCCTGACTACAGCTGGCTGTGGCATCTCTGGGAACTCGCTCAGATGTGTGCTCCATTCAGAAGCTCCAGTACTTAACTGCTCAAATTATTTTGGCCAGCCCTAGATGGTGGTGATGATGGTGGTGGTGGTGGTGGTGGTGATGATGATGGTGGTGGTGATGGTGATGCTGCGTATTTTTAACTCTCCTACTGCTCTCTGTTACAGCAAGAGCCCGATAGAGCTAGAGGACTAGTATTTCAGTAAATTATGTTGGAGTCTTTGAAAGGCTTTGCAAGGTTTTTTTAGTGTTTAGTTAAGTCTTAAAAACTTAGATTTCTTGAAAGAAATTTGCAAAGTACTCCTTTAATAAGGGAGAACAGAAACCCAACATGAAATACATTCAGTGGAGAAGATACCGAGACAGGAGTGTAGGAGAGGGAAGACAAAGTGAGATTTATTGTGCTAAGAGGACCTGCCTTTCATGATGAGCTAAAGCCTAGCAGACCATCCAGCACTTTCCACTGGCACTGGACTAAAATTTTCCACTGATGTTGCGCAGCCTCTCAGTTTAAATTTGGTCTGAAGTGAATTTGAACCGACTCTGACCAAAAGTTATGCAGTCTCATGAAGCTCCATCGCAGCTTCTGCAGAGCCCAAATGTTTAGAAGCACTTGTGCCCAGAGCTGGCCACCACACATACAAACACGTCTTTGTTTAGTCTGCCCGTTTTTTTGCTTGGTACTTCAGAGGAAACCAGGTCTGCACATACAGCTGCACTGTTCAGGGCTTTTAAAAAACAAGTCTTCTCTTTGGCTGGCTGGTTTTTTTAAACGTTGTGCCAGCAGGGGACCCAAGGGGCCTACCAGTGAGGTCCTGTTTACCCACGGCCTGCAAGTGTACGCTGCCATCAGGGCACCGACTGGGTAGCCACACAAATCGATGGCAAGAATGGCATCCTGTGAGGGGTAAATTAGAACCAGATCCACTGCTGCTGGTTTAAAGGGAAAGGCTTAAAGCTGCTGGGAAGAATAAAGTTACTTTTGTGAACAGTGTAGAATGTGTTGTCATAAATTCTTCATGGAACCACTTCACTAACGTCAGTAGAAACTGACTCATAGGTATATTGATTTGGTTGTGGTGCTTGTGATTGGCCATGCAGGTTCTTCCACATTCTGCTGGAGCGAGTAGGAGTGGGAGGAAAAATTTGATGCAGTATGATATTGTGATAGTTTGGGTTTACAATTAATATCAGTACATGGAGGACCAAATATTGATATTTTATTACAGAGGCCACCAATTCAAGGAGGGCCAGTATGGCTGCAGGTTATCATTCCTACAAAGCAGGAGCTCTTTTCATATAACTAATCAGTTATTTAAAGACTGAGACCATCTGATTAAAACCAGTGGAATCAGCTTCTGCTTGATTGAGTTGAAAGCCTGTAGCCACACCAGTGTGTGAGTAGGATTGGTGACCCTGTTTTTATTATTTCATTGTGAATATATTTAACTTGTAGTAAGCACATTGGTGTGTTAATTGAGCACTTATATAGATAATCCATTTCTGTCTCATCTTTTTCTGGTGAGAACGGGGCTTCTGTGACTGGAGTCATTAGATCAGTGGTGTGGAACTGAGGGCTGGATTCCAGCACCGTTTTGAAAGCACACCAACTAAACCTGGTAATTAACGGATGAGTTGAATCTGTTGTGCTTGACCAGAAAAATCGCCAAAGTGTGCAGGAATCAGGGACCAGAGTTAGATAGTGTAGTGTTAACACACTTGTCCTGCATGCAAGAAATGTCCTGCATGCTGCTTTATTATGCTAATAAAAGTCACTTGGTAAAACATTCAATAAAAGTAAAGCATCTGCTAAATTTTAAAATAAATTTAAATGTTGATTTGTCTGCTACACAGTCCTGTAGTCCTGTTTTGCTTCAATACAAAGATTAAAATAAGATGGTGTAAAACTCACAGTGCTTAGCATATTCTGCTTTTTGGACACTGAACATGCTGGTTTATTCTAGAGAGGCTATGCTTTGTAGGAGGATTACTGTGGTAATGTAGTGTTCACTCTGTTAGCCCACTGGTACAGCATTGTCATTTTATTTTCTTCTTGATTTATGATTGTTAGGGCTACCCTGGTCCTACATAAGAGGACGTTCTACCAGGAGTAGTATAATATCGCTGTTAGTGTTATAGATTTTCTCAGTACTAAAATCAGTTTGTTGTTCTCTCCAGGTGCCTTTCCCAGCTCTTCAAGGGGAGGGGGTGGAGTTTCTGGGCCGTGCTGATGACGCCATCATTGCCATCTCCAACTACAGACTCCACATCAAGTTCAAAGACTCCATCATCAATGTAAGAGCACAGCCCACACACAAATGGCACAAGGTGATGCTGTGTTGAATTGGACCTGCTTTAAGCGACCTTGGCTTTTACTGATCTTTCTTAGCATATCTGAAAATATTTCTGCATAAGAAATAGATGATGAAATATTTTGACATGCTTGCACACTTTTTACATGCACACACTCCTCTGGCAGCATCACTTGAGTGCAGCTTCAGTTTAACTGTAAAACAGGATGAAAACTTTACCCCAGAAATGTAACCAACATATGATTTGCATGACCACAAATCCTGTTCACCATGAGTTACACCAGTATCTGTGCTGAAGTTTTCATTATGGAGGTAATGAAGGCTTTTATCAGCTTCCTTGCAATCAGTTTGATAGAGTACCTAGGCCACCCACTATGGAAACTCTAGCCTTGTTCCTGCAGCGCTCTTGGTTAAAGTTGCTCTGAGCCTTTTCTCCTAATTCCCCAGCTGCTGTAAGCTAGATTTCTGTGCTGAGGGAAGAGGAGACCTTTTTAGTTCTTATCCCAGCGAGGTGAAGCCTTTCCCGAGCCACTGTTGGCTTTTAGCCCCCGATCTGAAAGGCTGCTGGTTCTTTCACAGCACACCAAAGAGTGAGTGAGGTCATGTTGGGCTCTCTTACACTTCAGCACAAACGACCTGAGTGTTTGCCGTTAACTAGCTTTGCTGAAATTACTGTGGCTCCCCTTTTTGAGCGTCTGAGGTTACATTTAGCACTCGAAAACCTAGGGACGCACCGATATGCTCTTTCCAGGTTGAAAGAGATGACCGATAATTAACACCTCACTGTGACCGATACCGGTAACTGATATACATATTAAGTGTGTTCCTGGTCAGATTACTTATTTTGTTGTTAAAATAAGTTAGCACGTCTTCTACAGAGAACACACCTTTCTGCGTATTTTAATGCACAAATGTATTTGCTGTATGTAACATATTAAGGGAAAAAATAAAACGTAAAATGTGGCCTGTGGCCAACAGTTATGGCTCATTTTATATATATATATATATATATATATATATATATATATTTTCCTCTACAAATAACTAGAAATTGTGCAATAAAATTAGCAGAAAATGCTACGTTTGTTAACTAATTTTTTGCTCATGTCAGGTTTCACGGGAGTTTGTCAGATCACATACTGTGTCCTTATGTATTAACATCACACACGCAGGCTTAAAAAGATTGGGTTCAGTGTTTAGATCTCAAATGCACTTATACATTGATGAAGAGATAGTAGATAATTCACTTACACCCTCAGAAGACCCGTCCTTCACCAAGTTTTAACTGCGTTGCGCTTGAACACTCTTCCAATCATCAGATTCGTCCTCTCGGGGAAAGTGTTCGAAACGCAACCAGCATTACAAAATGTTCTTCCACATGTTGCATGCAGTTACACATTTTGACCAGAGAGGTCTCCAAACCCCCACATCTTACATAGTGTGGCTTGAAATTGTCTTTTGTTTATCATTTTCATTATGCTTAACCTGTAGTGTATCAATAATAATAATAATAACATCTAAACAATTCATGTTTTGCTGGAGAAGATATTTTGTGTAGTGTATCTTAAAGCCCCAGATGGGGGAATTTTCTGATAATTAAATAATCCGACTTGTTTGGCAGTTGCAATACATGTACTCTCTCAGTGATTCACAATACTACCGTTAGTCGGCTCAAGCCTGTATCAGACCAGTTACAGTGCTGCATAGTACTGCAGCCACCTTACATTTGTGACACATTTGTTCATTTGCTTGTACGCCTTATACTTTACATTTGACATGTTAAACTGAATATCATGACGCTATGGTGCAAATTTGGGAAGTTGAGTATTTGTCCTTCTCTCTTGTCATTGGAATGACCGTGTTTTCTATAATGTTGCCCTACGGCATGATCAAAATGACCCTGTGACATAACCTGTGTTGTTTTTTGACATAAGTGACAGGAGCCAGTTGTGCTCCTGGTCCCTTTAACTCGTGGGTCTGTTTGTCCTCAAAACACCCACACATTCCCTCCTCATCCTACTGAACCCTGGAGGCAGATGACCAGCCTGATAATCATTAAAGTGGTGCCAGACTTTTTACGGGATCTTTGCAATGTCAACCATGACTGCCTAGCCCTTATTCTTTTTAAAGCTGTTTTAAATACCAGAGACAATTCAGCCCAGAGTTACCCAGAATCCCTAGGGGCAAATTGCGTCAACCTTGCGGCAACTGTTGAGTGACAGTGTCCTGTTTTGACCTGGCTGGCTAAGTTGAACTTAAAGACGAGCTTTGTGTTCATGTTTGCCCTGAACAGCCCAATCAAACTGTACGAAACAGGGTAGAACGATGGCTACAGCAGCTATAACAGAGCACTGACATCTTACTCCAGCTAATTAGTAATGTATAGGATTATATGAGCAGTTCACATCATGATGTCAGATTAGAATTATCACCCGTTATTCTGATATTATCACAGTGTTGTTATAAGATACAGAAACAAAAACGTATTGAAATAATTCCTAATAATTTCTCAACAAAGATATTGACATAATTTCCAAGGTATTTTATTTTTAGATTTTTCATTGAACATCTCATATGTCTTTAACAGCAAATAATCTGCAGTTTAAATGTGATGTGATATAATTACCAGCTCTGCTGTTGTTTATAAACATATAAATATGTTGTCCTAGACAACATATTGCAAGGATACTACAGCAGTAAGCTACTTAAGGACATTAACTTTTTAAAAATGTGCTAAACATTATCAGGATTATTACATTGTAAATACTGCGTAACACAAATAATGACATCGCTTTCATGTTTTTGTTCATCAGTGTTCTCACTACAATACCCAGCATGCATTACACAAATACATGATAGAACCATTGTAAATCCCTGTGGTATCAACCAATCCTGACTGCTAACCTTGCCACTGATATAGGGTAATAACTATAACGAAGCTAGCGTCATTGCCACTCTTGCCTTAGTTGTCTAACAAAATTGTAACGAAAGCTATAATAAAACTGTAATAAATATGTCTTTATTCCGCACAAACTGGGTGCCAGCAACATGTTTTTACCCTTTCAGCCAAGGTGCCGAACAGAGTTATCTAGATAGCTAATAGCTTCCTTGCTGAGTTTAGCTTTTAGCTTGTTGTCCTCCTAATTTGTTGAGACATTTCTGTCATTTGAGTGATCCATTCTCTCGATGGTAATGATGATTTAAAGATAATTACTAAAGCTGCAGGAAGAAATGGCTCTCTAGCAGCTAGCAGTTATCTTATCTTCCATCCATCTGTATTCACCAGCTAACAAAAACAGTTGTAGTTTTTCAAAAGCTCCTACCACCTTCAAGATACATCATCAGAAGGGAGTTTTCCTGCTCTTTTAACTGCAAAATATCACTCTAAAGGTTACTGTGACACTGCTGTAGGCATGGTTGCGACAGATGTAGTGATAAGTTTTCACTCATTCACACTGCTCAGTAACGTTTTTCTGCTTATGCAAAATCTTTATGCTCACGTTTGATTGTCTGAATTGCCAAAAGATCTGAAAACATTTGGTACGAATCTGACACTTCAAGAGTTGCAGACATTGACTGCACCCATCACCCGTCGCCAGCTCACTCTTTTGTGTATTTGAGAGAGACCTATTCTCACTGCCTGTGTAACTTATTTCATGCCATATATAGCTTAGACTCCGCTTTCTTTTATGTAGCTGCTGCTTATTCGCACATTTGCATTGCCTTTCCATTTAAAAGTCCTCTTTTTTGTCCTTTTTGCTTAGTCATTTTTTCTTTTTTCTGCCTGTTTTTATCCCCCTTTTGTCTTCCCATCTTTTGTCACCTGCTCTCTCTCTTTCTCCCTCTCTCTCTCTCTCTCTCTCCCCCCTCCCTCCCTCCTTCTGTCTCTCTTTGTCTGTGCCCTGGTGTGTGGTAGATGTACCCAGGTGTGGACACTGAGATTTCTGTGAGTACTCGCACTCGTCCTTCCATTTCACCTCTCTTCCTCCTCTCTCCCACAATAACATCCTTTCTTTTCTTTTTAATTTTTTTTTTTTCTTTTGCAGGAGGTTTAGTCCAGGGCCTGTAAGGTGATATCATTAAGTGTTCTGATCATAGAGTCTTTTCCAGTTTCTCCAAGCTGGAATGTCTACTAGTGAACAAATAACAGTGACTGGACATTCAGTGTAGGTGCTGGAAAGTATTGATAAAATTTAATATGATATTTTCTAAATATATCAATGTATTAGATAGTAGTGGGTGGTATGGCCAATAATGTACAGGCGTCTGAATGTAACTGCTGCACCATTTAAGGAGCCAACTTTAACTTCATCGATTTTCTGGAGTCGTTCATCTCCTTTATGCGTCCTGTACACTTGTGCCTCCGACCATAAAACACTGAAGAATATTACAGTTACACAGTCATCAACACCAGCTGGTCCACAGTTGCTGCCTTAGATGTCCATGTTAGGGTAAGGCTAACCCCAGAAGATGAGCCGTTTCTTTACGGTCTACTGCCTCGAAAACAAAGTGGACTACTGCTGTTGAAACAGACTAGACAGGTCTGAGGCGAGGTGATCTAGGGTCTGTATTTTCATTTTAATGTGGAGCGTGACTTAAACATCCCTGATTCAGCCACTCAGCTAAACGGGATAATGCCACTGTTTGGCTCATATTGTATGTCACGTTATCTGCTCTTATTTGTCATACCAGTGTAATTGTTATGACAAAACTTAAACCTGAGGAAGATTTCAACTAATAACCAGGATGAACCGGTATACCGTCCATGACTAGTTCAGATGATATTTTAAAAGTTAAAATTAATGAAGTTGAACCATGATGTTCGTCTGTACTCTAAAACAAGGTTGTACACACCTTACATAGCTTATGGTGTTCAGTTTTCTTCTTATAATTTTACACCAGAGCGAGACTTTTTCTTAAATGTTAACTAAACAGAAAACACATTTCCAGAAAGTGTTTATGAAACTTAGTGTTTATGTATTTTTATCCTTTTTGTAGAATCTGAGTAGTGCCATTCATCCTAAATTCTGGAAAAATGACTCGCAACAGAAAATCCAGTCTTGTGACTTATCTGCTTATTTGGACTTGTACTTGGGGGAGCATTCAGACTTGGCAGGTTTGGTTCAATTAAAAGGAACACTCGTGTCAGAACACTTTGCACACCAAAGAAACAAATCGAGACCCCTTGAGCCGGTCGGTCTTACTCCGGTGCAGTTAGCTTGACGTATGAACACAGGACAGACCAAAGATGTCTAAACGAACCAAAGACAGAACGAACCATCGTCTCCTGTCTGCCGAACCTCTTTGGTACATGGAAAAGACAAGTTTCTGATGCTGCTTTGATACGTGCATGTATTTTATCATCTCTTCATGAGCTCAAAATCAGTCATTCTAGAATGGATAGTTTTGGTTTTAAAACAAGGCCGAGGCACAGTTGAAGTCATTATAAAATACTTGGTGTACACATTTGTCTGCACACACAAATTATTGTGTATTAAGGTGCCAAGGATTTTTTCAGTTTTGTAAAAGCAATGAGCCACTTGAGGCTGTTACCATGCAAAGGATGTGCCATGCCAAACCACGGTCCCACAATGAGTCTCGTAGCTTGTTGCTCTAATACCCTAAGACAGATAAAACAAAGTTCAGTCAACATTTAGTGTACATCATCAAATCTGCCCAATCAGTTGTGATCTTTTACTTGTGTTACTTTTATTTACATCTTTTGGTTCGATGTTAAATATGTTAGTGTGAACACTAAGCAAACCAGAACTAAAAGGGAAAGGAACTACAAGTTTAAGCACACTCTCTGTTCTCGTCAAAGTAGAGAGGCGGCTGCTATTTTAGTGGTGCAACATTTTTAGCTGATGCTATTGTCTGGAAATCAAGGCTAGGACTTCGCTACAATGGCTGGTCTTTGATCAGCACTAAAATGCAGCTTGTGGCTGAAGCACCAATAGTGTTGACCCCAATTTTATAAAAGCATGCTGCTGTTTTCAGAAAGGACCATGGATAGAAACTTCTCTCAAAATTATTTGTTAAATTTTTCTTTACATGATCATAGTTACTTTATGGTGAGAGCTGCATTTTCCTATTGGCCTGTGGCAGTCATGTGATCGTTGGCTGTGTTCCATTGCAGGTGCCTCTGAGGCTGATTGAAAGCGTGGAGGGCAGAGATATGTTCCAGCTGCACATCATCTGCAAGGACTCCAAAGTAGTAAGGTAGGCATATTATACAAAGGACCTGGGGTCATAAAGATGTCCCGTAAGTTTCATCAGTATTCAAGTACCTATATTTAGTAATTATATCCTATATGTATTAAATGTATGTGCGTGTATGTGAGTAAGCAACAGAACATGAGAGGGAGTCTGTCATCATGAATAACGTCATGGCTGTGATGGTCTACAATACTCGTCTTTGGCTCAGTAGCATGTGACCTTGAGTTCTGTTGCTTTTATACAACAGTTCTGAAAATAAAGAAAAGGCTGAAGCAAAAAACCCCAAAACATCGTATCAAATGTGCATTTTGGCAATTCCTTCCACCACAAAAGGTACTAATTATCCCTGTGCGTTACAGATAGAGCCAGAAAACTGTCACAATATCAGGTTCAGATCAGCTTTTTCAACACTTGCCAGATTAACCTCAAAGGGCCTCATTCCTCAAACCATTCTTAAGAAGAAATATCTTCTCTTATCCCTCTTACGCTTTTTTCATGAAGATTCTGACGTTCACCAAAGTTTTATTATTTGGGATTTGTTCTTCAGTAAGAACAGAATCTACAAACACTTAAGCACAAAGGTGTGAACAATTCTGTGGTTTAAGAACATGCCATCAATCTGATGTTGACTTTTTCTTAGACCCTTCCTCAGGAACAAATTTAAGGAAAAATGTCCCTCAAGGTTCAGTTACAGGGCCTTTGCTTTTCTCTTTGTATATGCTACCTCTGGGTGATGTCATTAGGAAACATAATATACAATTTTCATAGCTATGCTGATGAAACCCTGTTATACATTACCATTCTGATGGTCAAGACTCTGTAGACAGACTAACCAGCTGTGGGTCAGATATTTCTCAATGGATGTCACAAAATTTTCTACAATTAAATCATGAAAAAGCAGAAATGCTGATTGGTACAAAAACTCAGAGAAGGCTGCTTTATGACAAACTTTGTTTATTAGCTTTATATACCAAAGCTGAAGTACGAAACCTGGGTGTGATCTTAGACTCTGAGCTCTGTTTTATCCTGCATGTGAACGCAGTCACTAAAGTAGCTTTTTATCATTTGAGAAATATCGCTAAAGTTCAGCCCTTTCTATCTCAGAGTGACGCAGAGAAACTTGTTCATGCATTTGTTACAAGCAGAGTTGATTACAGTAATGCTCTTCTTACTGGACTTCCTAAGAAAACAATACATCCTTTACAACTCATATAAAATGCATCAGCGCACATCCTAACAAAAACAGAAAAGAGAGATCAGATCACTCCCGTTCTAAGAGAACTGCACTGGCTACCTGTGTCTTTAAGGATGGATTTTAAAGTACTGTTACTAGTTTTTAAGGCACTAAATGACCTTAAAGCACCCGCTTGCATCATAGTGTGTATCTGTTTTTGTTCCAACACATGGTTTTGTTCAGAATCTGACCAAACAGCTACAGATCACACATTAGCATGGCAGTCACTGCATGTCTAAAATCTAATCTAATTTTCTGTTTTTATAAATACTAAAATACAGACTTCGTAATGGTTAACTGCAGCGTAAAGCGAGTCGTTATTTTGCAGCTGGTGCTCAGTGTTTTTATATTTATATATATATATATATATATATATATATATATATATATATATACACATAATAACAATATGTTCCATATGTGTAATATTAATTACTATCCTGAATACTGAATATATGCATCTCCAGAATGGTAACTACCAGATAAGACAACAACCTTCTTAACTTTTAATATGAGTTAAACTATTATTTTATTTTATTCCAGGGAATGTCGGACAATTTTGATCCATGTTCACACAATGTAAAGGGCAGCTGCTGTGCTCAGAAGCTCAAATGATATTATTTTGATATGAAAGCAACCTAAGCATATGAAGCACCTACTTGAAATAAGATTTTTTTAAGTGTAAGCCTAACCCAAACCTTTACTTCAGTAATCAGTAAGAAGTGGCACTTTCAGTTTAAGAATATAAATGTAAATTTGGTCAAAAAACATTTACAAAGTCTATTGTAAAGACCATTTAGGTGGTCCTGATATTGTAGGTTACGCCTGTTATTCTCTGGTTTTCCTACAAATCTGGGACATTTGTGTGTTAAAAATGTACTAAAACACACACTTTTGTTTTTGCTCTTCGTCCTATTGTCCTGGCCTGGTCCTACTGCTATATTTCATTATAATGTGGCACTGAGACACTCTGAGATAAAGTATGTGCAGTCATTTTTGTACTTTTCCATCTTTTCTTCATCTTTTCCTTCTTTTTTCTCTGTTTCATTTGTCTGCTCCCATTTCACAGCTGTCAGTTTCAGACCGGGGTACTGTGTAGCTGTGTGTTGTAGGCTCATGCTGACTCCTCAGTGCCTCTGACAGAGTATGACAGCTCTTTTCTGAAGGGGTGCCGTGTTTCCATTGTGTAAAGTGCAGCACCTTTGTGCTCATGGCTCCTGGGATGGTGGGAGAGGGGGTGCTTTTTGGCTAGAGAACGTCTGAACGGAGAAAGCGACTGGGAACAACTCCCTGTTTTTTGTCCACAAAGAACACTCTGTGTCTGAGGTTCTAGTGCCACACACACACACAGAGGAACAATATGTTCTCAGAAGTTGTAGCATCTGTAGAACTACAAGGTGCTTAGTAGCTTCTCATGCTAGACCCTTCCAGAGCATTATGGGTTTTCTATTTCTATTTATAATATGTTTTATTTCTATTTTCAGCCAGTGGGAACATATCCTTGTGCATCTTCCCATTACTGTAATTAAGCTGTTTATAAATTGAGTAATTTGGATCAGAGACAAAATATGACAGCTCCACGTTGAGTTTATTACAGCGTCCATTCTTTCCAGAAGACTTGCTTTCAGTTTTTCTTTGACTCTGCAAGGATTTTTTCACACCTCCAAAGTTCAGTCTTAGAAGTTGGTTGCTTTTTCTGCATCTCAAAAAGTAATTCAAAACACATCCAGTGGTGTTGAGGTCTGGACTTGTTCTGAGAACACCAGCATCTTCCTTGTTTGATTTGCAAATTTTCTTCTTTTTTTGTCCATTTCCTTTTCTCAGTAAGAGCCTCTTGACAGCTACACATCCTTTCAGAACCACAGTGTTGATCTGTTGTCTCACAGTGGAAGGATGGACAGAAACACGTGTGGTTTTCCCTTTTTTTCCTTCAGATATGAAGCAAAAGCGGAGCTTGATTTTTTTCTCTCAAAGATGAAAGCTTTAAGTACTGTTTATCTGATGGGGACAGTTTTGGTGGTCTACCAGGTCTTCCACAGTTTTTAGGAGACCCGTTTTTTCTACTGCTTTTAATAGTTTCGGAAACTTTTTTTAATAGTAAGAAGAGTTTTAGGATTAAACAGGTGAAGGCACATGTTTTTTGTGTCAGCACCGCATTGCGTGAGATCAACACAGTGTGGGAAGTTTATCCAGAACCAGTTCCAGAAACCTTTGGTGTGTTGTTCTAAAGCACTGCTTGAAGAATAAATTCGTTAAAGTGGGATTTAAACATAATCTTGCTGATTTGTTTATAACTTGGGCGCTATGAGCACTATACTTAATATATAATGCTGTATATATTGTGTTTGGTGATAATGGCAGTTTGAGTCAGTTTCAGACTGTGGGGCAGATTGAGTTCAGACCGAAATACCAGGCCTGGTTGAAGCTGTGACCTACTCACTCGCCCGTTCTCTGGTGCTCTCTCTGTCAATAGTTACTCTTATTATATCACTATTTTCTAAGTACATTAAAAACAAATAAGAATATTTCTGAGGAAAAGTAACTCTAATTTTGAAAAAATGCACTACCTGTACGTTTGTCCCGTTTCCTTTGACAGGCCCTAAAACAAATGCCTTGAATACTGTCTTTAGCTGATGTAGTGGATGATAATTATGATGATGCTTGTGTTCCCTCAGGTGTCACTTCTCCACGTTTAAGCAGTGTCAGGAGTGGCTGAAGAGGCTAAACCGGGCTATAGCTCACCCCACCCGGCTGGAGGACCTGTTCGCTCTAGCATATCATGCATGGTGCCTGGGTGGCTGTGCTGACGACGAGGACCAGCACCTGCATTTGTGTAGACCAGGTACACATGTAGTCAGCTGACTGCTAATACTCTACTTCGAAGAACTTTTTCCCCCCAAAAGGTGGATTAAACACCTGACAGTCCACTTTGAATTCATTTTTTTCTGTGATGTCATGAAAACGAACTCTTTTACATCTATCCACCTATCAGGCCTGTAGCAGTTTGGCTCCACCCATTCATATTTAAATTTAAGCTCTGAGTGCTTTTTATATGAGGCACAATACAGGACTGCCAATCACAACAGAGCTCATTTATGTCAGTTCTAAAGGCACAGTAACAAAAAAATAGTGTTTACTTCTAACTAATAAAGTGAGGTTGGAAAATGGTCATGTAAAAATAAGTTGTGACCATTTTTGTTACATAAAACCACACAAATGTTCTAAGTATATATGGGCCTATTAATAATGTCTATGCTACTAAAATTGTTTGAACATACTCATGAGTCTGAATTAGGGATGCACCAATATGGGAGTCATAGGCTGATGTTCATATCTGATGTATTTCGTGCTATATTGATACATAAACATTTATAAACAGAGATATGAGCTAAAACCATGTAGCACTTATTTGTAGGGGGTTACAAATGCAGTAAAATGAATAAAATGCTGATATTTTGGCACAGCTCCTCAGCGTTGCATAAACATTCTGCTCCCCTGGAGTTCAGGAAATACGTCAGCAAATATCAGCTTGAAGTATCAGTCAAATTTAAACATCTGTCAGTTACCAATATTTTTTAAGCAAATATCTGGTGATACAGATATCCGATATCATCGTGTGTCTCTCTCTCTCTCTCAGGTGAACATGTTCGTCACAGGATGGAGATGGAGGTGAAGAGGATGTGTTTTGATATGCAGAACGCCTGGAGAGTGTCCGACATCAACAGCAACTACAAGTATGGGGCACACACAGAATACAAAACCAAAGCCAGGGCTCCTGTTTTCCTCAGTTGTCTGTGTGTGTATGTGTTTATACCCCTGCTGCCAGCTTCCTACTTGACCATTAGTTTGCTTTTGCTGAGGGAGACGGAAGAAGGGGGAGAAAAAAAGAATAGAGTGGATGAAAGGGAAAAGCACTGGTGTTTTGACTGGGCTGGAATTACTGTCCAACTCTGTTATTAGTTTGAGGCAGCAGTGATTATCATTTTAAAGGGACGGAGCAGTGGGGAAGGTTATTTGTGTGTGTGTGTGTGTGTGTGTGTGTGTGTGTGTGTGTGTGTGTGTGTGTGGTGAGACACCATAGAGGTGCTTAATTAAAGCAGGCCAGGACCTGCTGTGTTGTATGAGTCAGCAGCAGCACACCTCAGTCAACTGAGACCGGTGTATTTCTGTGTGTGTGTGTGTGTTGGTGGGTTGTGTTCCTGGTTTTTGTTTTCTCAGTGCATGTCTTTTTTCTCTCTCTCTCTGTGTATGTGTGTCTATATTTCCATCTGCCTGTGCCTGAACCTCCCTCAGGGCATTAAGCGATAGTGGAGATTCTGAACTAATTGAAGGAACGGTTGGCATTGAAGAGAAAGGGAAAAAACACAGATTGCAGCTGCAAGCAGCGGTGGAGAAAGATTTAAGTAAGGTAGAAAAAAAAACAAAAGTAGGGACAAAGTTAAGTTGTATTAAAGTAGCGATGGCTGAGAATGTTTGATGCAAACATGGCCAATAGTGTCACTTATCGTTTTTTGACCAAAAGAGATAAAAGGTTGATAATTTTGGCCAGGGTCAAATAGGTCTACAATTAAGTCTCAAAATCTAACACTTAGCAAACAATATGAATGGTAATAAAATGAAATAAAAGTGATTAAAATGCTGTTTGTTTTTTAGTGTAGACTCAGTTTAAGTAGGAGCAGAACAACAGTAAAACGCGGTCTGCTGCAGCTGTGTCCTCTAGCTCCCTGTTGGTTCTCTTACCCAACGTAGTGGTTATCAGCTTTGAAGCATCGTCAGCATTATATTAAATCAATAATGTAAATAAAGTGTCAAGTAAGGTAGAAAAGAACATTTTCTTTTGGTTACTACATTAAAGCGATAAGTGATTTAACAGTTCTTTTAACGGCTTCAGCGCATTTTCTGAGTCTGACCATTCAACCCATCCGTAGTAGTCCAGGCTGAAGCCTGCTCGCACACTGTATTTTGCTATGATAGAATATGTGATTGTAGGCCTCTTGATCAAATACAACTTTTGAACAGCTTTTAAAGTGATGCCTTCAGCTGATTATGCTGGGCAGTTCTCACAGGAAATCTATTGATAAATCAATGAGCAACAAACTAACAAAAGCAACAGCACAGTGCAAAGCTCCTCTTCTCCCTGCGGGTCTCCACTGAGCGAGAGGGGAAAAAAGTGTGGTTAATCGTGGTTGATTATTTGAATCATTTGAGAGCCCTAATAAAAATAATATTAAAAAATTAGAACGTACCCACCTCTCTGTGCTCAGATCTGGAGAGCGTTTTTTATGTTGATCGTCTACATTCTACTCTGCTGGTTCTTTACTTTGATATGTAATTAACTCAGACAAAGCTTCCACTCAGTGTACAGTAACATGTACATTATCACTGTGTAAATCATAATGATGTCCAAATGCTTTCAGTGTTGAGTTTTTGTGTTTGCATATTATTAAACTGACCATATCTTTACCTTCTCCCTTTGTGCTTCAGACTGTGTTCCAGTTATCCTCAGAAGCTGCTGGTGCCAGTGTGGATCACTGATAAAGAACTGGAAAGCGTAGCCTCTTTTAGGTCTTGGAAAAGAATCCCTGTAGTAGTGTACAGGTAAGACCTGCACACACAGTTACACAGAATGTGATGTGAATGGGACATTTTCCAGTGCCATATCTTTACTGAACAAATGTTTGTAGCAGGCATGGTCATTCATGGAAAAAGAATGTGTAACCATTTATATTTACTAACTAAGGAACCTCCTTTATTAGCAGTAACCTCAACCAGATGTCCAAAAAATTATACCATTGCTCTCCTCTGTCAACAGAACGTTGTTCCGGTAGTGCTGTTTGTTGTTTTTTTTAAGAGCAGTGGTTTCCTCCATTGTAATCTCTTGTGAACACCACTCTTATTATTATAGTTTTTCATACAGTAGAGTGAACACTGGTGTTATCGAGTGCATGAGATGCCTGCGAATCCTTTGCTGTCACCTCAGAGCTCTTTACTGCTTCTTTGAGGATTCTTTTGTGATCTTTGTAGCACGTCTACTCATAGAGAGTCTTCTGCCTGATTTATTTAGGCCCATAGCTCATCTGTGTTCCTCTGAAATCTCTTTTGATCAAGCATTTTACATTTAAACAACAGTGCAGAATCCTGCGTTGAACATCCGGTACCCACTCTTGTGCGGGTTCGTCTTTCAAACTGGACAGATCCAACATCCAAGAGTAGGAACACTCATTATCCCAGAGGTTCACATACAGAAGATATGGCAGTGTAAAATGTGCTTCATGCTTGTTAAATAAGGCATGAAGGTATGATGACAATAATAGACAATTCACTGACATCCTCTAAAGACGCGTCCTTCAGTTTTGACTGAGTTCTCTTTGAATACCCTTTCAGTCATCAGGGTTATCCGTTGGGGGAAGGTGTCCGAAGCACCACCCCAAATTACAAAATGTTCCTCCACACGTTGTATGCAATTACACTTTTCCACCAGAGAGGTGGTGAACCAGTTAAGATGTGTCTGATGTTTTGGAGCTACAAGACTAATGTAGCTAAACAAATGATGGAAGCTATATCCTTAGTCCAAGTCATCATACACTTGATTCAAACCGCTTTAAAGTAATCTCAAATAGACTCACTTACGAAGTTTTCGTAAAAAAAGTGAAATACTGTTACATGTGAAAAAAAATGGACACAACTTGCATAGCTAAAAACAGTACCAGCATGCTTTTTCACCTATTTTTATTCGTCCATACTTTTGTCCTTGTTTACAGATGTATGTTGTGCAAAGGAATCGAGGGGACATTGTATACCTTTCATTTTCTGTAGAGCAAACATTTTAAATACACAAAGTATCACATTTAAGAGCTGCTCGTGTGTATATGTGTGTATATATTCCTCTCTCTTTTTCTATGTCAGGCACCAGAGGAATGGGGCAGTAATAGCACGTTGCAGTCAGCCAGAGATCAGCTGGTGGGGTTGGAGGAACACCGAGGATGAATATTTGGTGACCTCCATTGCTAAAGCCTGCCTGTTGGACCCGGGGTCCAGGGCCGCCTGCACACCCGCCTGCCGGCCACGTGGAGATGGACCTGACTCATCTGACAGCGACTTTGGTAAGACACCGACAAGTGATATATTCACTGGCCTCAAGACTAGGGTTCTGTTTGGTTTCAGTTTAGGTTTACATGACTAGCATGTCGCTGGCATGCACATACTTTCAGACCACTGGCATGAGGGATGGTTAAAAGAGGAAAATTAATTTCAGTATAATGTAATGCTATACATTGATCTTTTATGGCTGACTGAGTTGTTTGATCATTTGAGCAAAAAAGGTAAAGTGTTTTCTGTCGGATGTCTACAAACTTCAGTACTGTACAAAAGTCTGGGACCACATTTCATTTCTTTCATTTCCAGTCAAAACAGCAATTAAGTACGAGTTGTTCGTTTTTCATCATCAGGAAAAAGCAGAAAACAAATTTAACAGAAAATCACACAGAAGCAATAACTAAATCAAATTTTTTGAGTGTCTTATGTGTCCACATTTTGCCTTTATTGCAGCACACCCCCAACGTTCAGTCTTAGACGTTTGTTGCATTTTCTTCTTCTCACCGTCCAAGTAATCCCAAACACATTCAGTGATGTTGAAGTCTGGACTCTGGAGTGGTCAGCCCATTTTTCGGAGAACACCAGCTTCTTTGTTTAATTTGTACATTTTCTTTGTCTGGCTATTTCTTTTTCTCTGACCGTTTCCTGGCAGCTACACATCTTGTCAGACTCACAGCGTTGAGTTGTCTCACAGTGGAACAATGGACAGAAACATGATTTTTTTCAGATCTGCAGCAAGAGTGGAGCTTGATTTTCTCCTATACATCAGTTCCATCAGTTCTCTTTCATGGTTTTTAGTAGTCCAAAAATGTAAACTCCTTTGTTTTTTGTTGTTTTGTTCCTTTTTTTTCAAACTTACTTTCATTTGACTCTTCCTTCCTTATGCAACTAGATTATTTTTATATTTATTCTCCTCAAAAATATCTCCAGAAAAATGAATAATTTGTATTTAATGGCTGTTTTGACTGGAAATTTCAGTTGAAGGATGATCTCTGGCTGTTGCGCAGTGCTGTACTTCGGATCTTGTTGATTGTAAACAGTGACAGTTCCATTTTTGTATGGAGAAATCCCCTTCCATTATAAGCAATGCATTCGGATATTAGAGGCCTAGTGTTGGGGAGATGTGCTCTGTCTCTTTCTTGCTGTTGAGTGTTCAGTAAATGAGCGACATGAATAGACGGAAGTCTAAGCCAAGAATCTGCCCGAGTACCATTAGTTCTGGTTATAGCATAGAATCAGCCTCAGTTAATTCTCTAATGGTTCCAGTTCTCTTGGACAATAATAGCATATAGCCTATTCAGGCAAACATAACCACTTGGTGGAGAGCCATTAGTAATTAGTTGCTGTCTCACACACACATGCAGATAGTCACACACTCTTTTTGGAGCAGAAGATAAATGGTTTCCAGTTTGATGCGGATGCAAGACCGCGAAGTAGCAGTGGCTCTTTTGTTTTTTACCATGTTTGCACACTGGTGGCCAAGAATAGTGGGGCGTGTTATGGGAAAGGTCGTCTGTGTAGTCTAGCGCTCACACATACACACAACAGTTGGTCACTTTCTCTTTCACACAATGCATTTTGCAGTTACGGGAATGAGGAAATTAGACATTGCATGAAGTCACAGAGTGTGTCGATGCCGGATGTCGCCACTGGTGTTCATACCTTAATTAAAACAATGGTTTGGAATTTTGGACATAGCTGCTCCATCTAATTACCTTCTTTAGAAGTCCTCGATTGGCTGCATGAGATGCATTAGTGTTGGGTAAAGAAGGGGGCAGCACGTTGGTTGTAGGTTGAAACTAAACTCACCAGGAAGAGGTTGGTGACCACTGTATTAAACTATTCATTTGTTTAAGTGGAAAAATGGAGTTACGAGGTTTTGATGTTGACAGTATGCTGTGTCTTGCATAAAGGCATCAACATGCCTTTTAATGAATTTTCTCAACTGCATGAAAAGCCAAGTGTAAACACCCCCAGAACCCATTTTCAGATTACGATCAGGTCACTCAAACCACATTTAGAGATGGTCAAAGAAGTATCTTGACCACATTTCAAAGTCTAAACAGAATGTATTTTCATTATCCATTTACTACATGAGCAGAAAAGCTGTTATCCTAACTGGGGGGAAGAGGATGAACAAAATGGCAGTGATATGTGTTGATGTACTTCTTTTATACTGAGAAAGGACAACTGGATCTCATCTGGTCATACAGGGGGTACATTTTAGTGAAAAGTGTAAATGGAATCCGGCCAAAGTTTGTCCAGATATGATCCAGACAGGAAACAAGGATTGTAATGCAAGGTGTAAACAGTGTCACAACCATAGAATTGATTCATTTTGTTTCGCCTCGATATATTCATTTTACACCTTAACATTTACAGCATTAAACATTCAAACTTACAACAAAGCATTAATGAAAGTACATGTAAGTTATAAATCACTGCTATGTTTGGGTACTTACTAATTAAGTATAATTAAGTAAATTAGCTGCAGTGGCAATGTGTCTATGTGGTTATGGCGCCAGACAGCTCCTCTGCAGTGGTCATCAGAAAGAGCTTCTATTGATTTTGCTAATGCATTCTCTCTCTCTCTCTCTCTCTCTCTCTCTCTCTCTCTCTCTCGCTCTCGCTCTCTCTATCTCTCTCTCTCTATCTCTCTCTCTCTCTCTCTCTCGCTCTCTTGCACTCTCTCTCTCGCACTCTCTCTCTCTCTCTCTCTCTCTCTCTCTCTGTGTCTTTCTATTCTTTCTCGTCTTATCTGTCTCTTTATTTCTATACTTTCTCTCTTTTTTTCGTCTCTCTCTGTCTCTCCCAGACTCGTCTCTGACAGGCGGTCCTGGTCCTGATGCCAGCGCTGCACCACAGAAGCTGCTGATTCTGGACGCGCGCTCTTACACTGCTGCAGTGGCCAACCGCGCCAAGGGTGGCGGCTGTGAGTGTGAAGGTAAGTGCCAGCCTCTCTCCTCACTACCCTCGCTGCCTTGCCGCAGCCCAGTCAGGGGGCACCTCTCCTGGGTGGAGATGTGTTTGCATGCTGCTGCGCTGTGGACGACCTCCTAGGGCCCTATGATTCATTAACTGTCGGGCTGGTATGACACTGCATGTGATACAAGTAAACACAGTGGTTTCACTTTAATGAAATAATTTTAGCACAAGTACAACACAGACTGTTTTTTCAGTATTTAGTTTGTCCACTCTTTGCCTGTATTACTGCTTTCATTCTTTTCAGGACATTTGCTTTATTTGACCTGAAATTCAACAAATGAGGGATGGTCTCTGATGTTACTGGATGTAGTATTATTATTATTATTATTATTATTATTATTATTATTATTAATTAATTTATTTATTTATTTTTTGGCCAGAAAAGTTTTTAGGCTCTCTTTTCAGATGTAGATATCTCCCCAAAATGCTTTACCAAAATAATCAAAACATGGTGAGATTTCATGATTCACTGAAGTCTTTCCTAAACAGTTGTAATCTAATTGAATTGTTGTTAGATCAGACATTCGCGACTCCTCTTAGTGATTTTGAGCATTGCTTATGAGTGTATCTGTCTGTCTTTCTGGCTGTAGAATACTATCCAAACTGTGAGGTTATGTTCATGGGCATGGCCAACATCCACTCCATCAGGAACAGTTTCCAGTCTCTGAGAGCAGTTTGCAGTCAGATTCCTGATCCTGGCAAGTGAGTATGCAATACTAACCAGTGATCTTTACACTCACCTCTGTCACATGTGCTCTCAGGCATATTACATCTTTAAGGCTTATCATTCAGTAGCTACATTGAAAATGCTGAAGAATGACTGAGTTATAGAGATGAGAAATGGAAGCGTGGACCCGTCAGCAGGTCCTGGCCTTTTGAGGGATTTGTATCTTTTCTTCTGTTATCCTCATTTCTGAGTGTATCTCCCTGTACTCTTCCTGTTATGTTTACGTTTAACCCTTGTGTGGTGTTTGTGGTTTTGTAACTTTTTTTCCCCAATCAATACAGCCATAACAATTTATGTAAAAATACCAAATGTTTAAAAATCACAGGTGGCCAGTGTAGGGTTCTCCTTTAGCAGCTGTAGCCAGTCAGCAGCCTGTCCATGTTGTCCACACACAAACACACACACACACACACACACACACACACACACACACACACTACAGCAGGCCATGTAGGAGGAGAACAGAGTGAAGGACACAGCACCTCCACACTTTTATTCCTCACAGGTTCACCCCAACACCACCTGTGTAATATAAATGTGTGGGGGGTGAACAGTGTGAAGTCATTGAAAATGTGTTACTTTATATGTTCTTCACAGAAAATGAGCCAAGGAATCTGATGTTGAAATAATGATAAATCACATAATTTCTTTCTTTTGGTGAACATTAAAAAAGGGTCCCACAGACCCCAATACCACACAAGGGTTAAGAAATCAAAGTCGTTGGACTAGTTTGGTGAATGGTAATACAACTGTTGTTTTGTTATTAGTTTGTTTTTTTACCACTCTTTATCCCTCTTAGCCCCTTACACAACCACACTTGGACTCGTTTTCTGTTTTGGACTTGTTAATGACATCACATGCCCAGTGACAGGCTATATATAGAGTGAGCTCTATGTACAAAGTTGATTCTGCATTGCTTTCCCGGTTTAAAATAGACCCACACGGGCATGGTTCAGAAGTAACTGGGTCAAACTAAATTGAGCACAGAGACCCTGATGTGTCCCTGATGGGTCACCATTATGCGTCTCCATTATATAATCTTTCATTTTGGACTATTAGCTGGGGTGTAGATCCATGTAACTGGGTGAAAAAGTCATGCATACATAGTAGATCTAATTCTTCATTGCATACTATTATCAGAGATATTCAATTCCTACTTTCAGTTTAGTAAATTAAGCATTTATAAAGTCCTAATACTTAATGTCACTTCCCCTGCCCAGCTGGCTGTCTGCACTGGAGAGCACTCGTTGGCTGCAGCACCTGTCTGTCATGCTGAAAGCAGCCACTTTGGTGTCTTCTGCGGTGGAGAGGGAGGGGCGTCCAGTGCTGGTCCATTGTTCTGATGGGTGGGACCGCACCCCTCAGATTGTGGCCCTTGCCAAGATCCTGCTGGACCCCTACTACAGAACCATTGAGGTGAGGGAACTACAAGAGGAAACGAGTTGTGGGGGTACGGTCATCTTTTTCCAAGCACAAACACGGTCATCTTTTTCCAAGCAGTTTTATTTCAAGTTTAGGGAAGGCTTCCAAGCGCAAGCTGAAAAAGTTAGATGAGCAGTTCCCAATCTGGTCCCCAGGGCCCCCCAAATCGTCCATATTATTGCTCCACTTTAACTCAAAACACATAGGGAAGAAAGTAAAAATGTGGACCATCTGGGGTCTTAAGAACGGGGTGGAAACAGCTGGGCTAGATGAATGGTGAATCCTTTAAAATATTGTTGCTGCTTTTGTTTTTATCTAGTAAAAACTCTGCAGAACATTATGTAAGAAAACAAACAATACTATGAAAGAAAGAACACTTTATACAACACCAGCCACTGACCACCGTCCTTCTGATTATTTTGAACTCCATTTCTGACCACTTCCCACTGATTTTCTGTGTCTCACAAATGTTTGAGTCTTTTTCTCACTTGCTTTTGTTTGCCCTGTTCCTGTAGGGTTTTCAGGTATTAGTCGAGACAGAGTGGCTGGACTTCGGTCACAAGTTTGCAGACCGCTGTGGTCACGGGGAGAATGCAGAGGACGTTAACGAGCAGTGTCCAGTCTTCCTGCAGTGGCTGGACTGCGTCCATCAGCTCCTCAAGCAGTTCCCCTGCCTGTTTGAATTCACTGAGGCCTTTCTGGTATGTGGCCCACCCATCCATTAATCCATCCATTTATTAATTTCATTCATCTTCCCATCCATCTGCTGTATCTTCTCATCATCATCCTTTTGTCCATTTGGTGTCTCATGTTAGCGTCATTCATCAACCGAAATTCATCAATGCTTTATTCATTTATTCATTCATTCTTTTACTTGATCATTGTTCATCAGTCCATATAGAGTGTCACCATGAATTGGTAAATCTTTGTAGCTGTTATAAAGGGTCTGATATATATACATTTTTCTATTAATTAATCTGTATAATCACTTCTTGAGTGCCAAAACAATCTAATGTAGTCATTGCTTGTGCACAGGTGAAGCTAGTGCAGCACACATACTCATGCCTGTACGGAACGTTCCTGTGCAATAATGCTCGCGAGCGAGAAGCTCGAAATGTCTACAAGCGGACTTGCTCCGTCTGGTCCCTGCTCCGCAGTGGCAACAAGAACTTCCAGAATTTTCTCTACATCCCCTGCCATGATATGGTAAGTTTGAAAAATGCACAAAAACATTGTCTACAAATGACAAACTTCACCTTTTATTCAATCAAAGACATTCTCGTCTTCTCATTTTCAACGCAGAGAATGATCTATCTGTCTGTTTTGCTTTGAACGTTATTATAGTGTAATTTCAGAAAAGCTGAAAGGTGCTCCATGCTCCTGCAGCAGCAGGATAATTCCTGTTTCTCTGCTTGGAATGTTAATGAAATCCCTTTGGGGCTCAAAAAAATTGAAAACATGCAGTCAGAAAGCTCAAAATCCAGTTCATGAGTGTAATAGTGGCCCACATTTTTACTTGGCAGTTTAATTGACTGAAGAAGAGGAAGGCTAACTATTAGTAGAGAAATGTTTATATTAATCTTCTTGATCTCTCTTGGCATCAGTTAGACTTCACAGAAAAGAATGTAGCTGAGTTATTCAAAGAAGGTGACCTCTCATGACCTTTAACCTCTGTGGCAGGTTCTGCAGCCAGTGTGTCACACGCGAGCGCTGCAGTTGTGGACCGCTGTTTACCTGCCCACCTCATCCCCTTGCACAGCAGCTGAAGACGCCATGGAAATCTACATAAGCCCCTCCTCCCAGGGGGAGGAGCTCACCTCTCGCTCACTTGATAGGTCAGTATGCCTGTCATTCCTGTTATTAAATGTGATTGAAGAGTTTTCCATTTTTAATGATTTTGGTGGGGTTTGTTTGGCTTCTAAAGTGAGTTATGGAACAAAAATGAATATGCATATGAAAGCCTATATGAAGATGTTTTTTTTTATTTTAAAAATATACATTTCCCAAAAAATAAATACTATGTCAAACATTTCCCAACAAAATAGTCATCAAAATCTGGGGGAATACTGATGAAATATCATGGAATGTTCCTTTAGCTCAGGGTGATCAACCTCATCTGCAAAGGGCTTGTGTGGCTGCAGGTTTCATTCTAATTAAACAAGAGCATAACTGACTGTTTACTCAAGTAGTCTCAGTTTTCAAATCAGATGGTCTCCTGCTTGATTAGAATGAGAACCTCTTTTGTAAATAAGATTAGGCAGCCCACTTTTATCCCAAAATTATCTGAGGATTGTCTGCCCTCTTGTGGACATCTAATGCAGTGCAATCAAAAAGGTATAAAACGTTTTTTTTCTCCCCTTAACACAGGCTTCCTAAGACACGATCAATGGACAATTTGGTGTCCGCTTGTGAAAATGGTGTGGCCCTGACTCGCACCTCCAGCGACCCAAACCTCAACAAGCACTGCCAGGAGGGACGGCCACCTCTGGAGCCGATGTCTGGCCAGGGAGGCGGTTCAACAGACAGCCCGGAGGACACCTCTGACACCGGACTGGGCAGCGAGGACCAGGAGGTGGAGATCTGCGAAGAGACCCCGCCCTCAGCATCTCCTGAGCCTAGTGAGGATGGCTGCATGGACGTGAGGGTAGAGCCTTGTTTGACCACACAGCCTTTGCCGTCCTTGTCACACCCCGTAACGTTAGACCAGGCTCCTCCCACGCCACAAGTCCTGCCAATTTTACACCAAGCCCTGCCTCAGACCACCAGTCCTCCCACCCCACCTTCACCACAGGAAGAGGATGCCAGGGGTGCTAATGCCCCTCCCTCATTTGCTACTACAGCAGATCTACTTAGTGCTCAACTAGGTAATGGCACTGAGATGCTAGAGCGCTCCAGCGAGCCACTTAGCTTCCCCTCACCTAGTGCTGTCGAGCTTTTGGCCATCAAACAGCTCCCCTCTCTTGCCCCGCTGGAGGACTCTACAGAGACGCTGACGGAGCAGGGTCCCACCCAGCCCGAGCTGCATCCTACACAGAAAGCCAGTACAGGCAAGGCCCAGGTTTCGGCCCAGGTACAAATTGATGAAAAAAGGACTCAGAATGGTAAAAGCACTGAGCTCATCCCATTAAAGGCCACAGCGCCCCCTGCTGACTATACACGAGCAGCACGGCGCCTGATCTCGCAGAGCCAGCTGACAGACCTCTCTCTGCTGGGCTCGCATTGGGACAGTATGCAGGGCCTGGTCCAGTCAGCCTGCGGAGGGACCCTCCAGCAAAGTGGCTTTCAGGGCCGCCGCCTGGCTAACAAGCTCCTCCGTGTCCAGGGAGTGAGCTCCAGCAGCAGTCAGTGCTGTCCCCCTCGGTCTCCTGGCAGTCCTGTCCAGTCCGGCTGGATCTCTGCTGTTAAAAACACCAGCTATGCCGCACTCTATGCTTCGTCGTCCTCATCGTCAGCTCTGGGACCCTCCTTCCGTCAGATCCTGCCGGCAGCTCACATTTCGCCTTCTTTGGGTGGATCACCAGGGCTGTTTCAGGCTCCCGCATACCTGGACGACGATGGTCTGCCCGTGGCGGTGGATGCCGTCCAGCAGCGTCTGCGCCAAATTGAGGCCAGCTATAAACAAGAGGTGGAGGTGCTGCGGCGGCAGGTGAAGCAGCTGCAGATGAAGCTGGAGAGCAAGCAGTACTGCTCGCCCCCGTCTGAACCTGACGTAGATTACGAGGACGACATTGTGAGTTTCTTTAAGTTCACTGAAGACAGCATGAAATTTACAATGACTTCACAGACATTTTAATAACTTTTTACTGTTCTGAATATCCACATTTCTAAAAGAATAGTATTCAAATGTTCAAATGAGAAAATATTTTAGATTGTTGCAACTGCTTTGTTTATTATGTGGAGCCAGCATAAGAAGTGATCAGTACTTTGGTTGAGTAGTGATTTATCTTTGTAAATCATTTTTTTAGGCAGATAAGATTTAACATACTATCAGTTGACCTAGAGAATAATAAAATGCACAATTTGCACTATTCAAATTTGTCATATTTTTGTTTGAAATATGTCCATATATAGTTGCATTTCAAATTGAATGTGAGATCCAGTGTTTGATGGTGTCAAAAATATACTTAAAAATTAGTTTATTTCAGTTTTTATTCCAAACCACACATGCTTTTTCAAATACTCGATTAATTAAACACCGACATATAAATACTAAATACTGCCTTGAGTTTGGATATCCATATGTTTGAATTACCTCACCCATCCCAAATACTAAGGTCCAGTGTTTACTTGTACAATACTAAGTGATTACTTGTGGCAGTAAGCTGTTTACATCAGGTAGTTTCTAGTTCTGATCTGTTATGTATTAAACTCTCCTATCTGCTTGTCTTCACAGACTTGCCTGCGAGAATCCGATGACAGTGACAAAGAGGACTCTCTGTCTGACCACAGCGAGGACCGCCTCAGTGAGGGCAGCTGGGACCGCGTGGAGAGGAAGGATACCGAGGTCAGCCTCCCTCATAGCCTGCTGCAGGTTTCTGCCTTTCTGCTTTTAGTATGGCACTGATCTGAGACCAGCTGTTCTTACTCTAATGCTACTCTAAACTGTTAAGAGAAATCTCAAAACTGACCTCAGATCAGCGGCTGCTTGTTTCTGAAAGCTGCTCTTCCTCGCCACCTCAGGCTGCCTTTTACCGGTTTCGCAAATAAGATCTGAGCCTGGATGTTAAGGTCTGTCTCTTTTTCACCCTCTTCCAGGTTACCAGATGGGTACCAGACCACATGGCCTCACACTGCTTCAACTGTGACTGTGAGTTCTGGATTGCCAAGAGACGCCATCACTGCAGGTGAGAGGTGCTAAACAGAAAGTGCATTAACAAATGATTATACTATTCTACTAATTCTACTAATAACTGTTCCTGATTCTATGCACATTGATTTTAATAACACTCAATAAAGTATATGCTAATTTATCTATTTTTAAATGAAAAAAAAATAGAGAAAAAAAAGGAGATTTGAATCACTGTTGTGAAGTCAGAGATTTGCACCACTAATTTAACTATATACTGATGCACCAGGGTTATTATTGTTGTTTATGGTTATCAAGAAATTAAAACAGGATGTTTTAAAAATACAAAAACTTAAAAGGTGTGTAAGATCCATTAAAACAAGAATGAAAACTAAATACTTTTAAAGCAGAGGAAAGAAAGGTTAGTTTTAGAGTTTTCATTATATAAAGGATGGTGTGGTTTCAATTTTATCCGCAAAGGGCTGGTGTGGCTGCAGGTTTTCATCACAACAAAGCATAACAAACACATAATCAGTTGTTTTATAGACTGAACTGATTGATTAAAAGAGAAGAATCAGGTTCTTGTTTGAAACGAAAACCTGCACCCACACCAGCCCTTTAAGGATAACATGGACATCCCTGGTGTAGAACCAAGCTTAGCGCAGTCTACTTTTGAGCTAATTTAGCACCACAAAACTCATCAGAAGAAAATGTGTCCAATTTGTAGCTCCACCCCAGTTTCTGACAAAAATATTCACCATAATACCAAAAACTGAAACTTAGTAAAAGTCTTCATTTAAAAAAACAAAATTCAAACTATTGATGTGCTCTTGTAATTAACTGAAACTTAACTGAAATTGAAAACCACAAAAAAATCTAAATAAAACCTAATCAGACAAATTTGAAAATTAAATAACGCTGGATGTGTGTCTCTCTTTGTGCCTCCAAAGGAACTGTGGGAACGTGTTCTGTAAAGACTGCTGCCACTTGAAGCTGCCCATTCCGGATCAGCAGCTCTACGACCCGGTGCTGGTGTGTAACTCCTGCTACGACTTGCTGTTGGAGAGTCGCACACGTGAGCTCCGCTCGCAGCAGCTCAAGAAGCCCATCGCGACGGCCTCCAGCTGAGCGTGCCAGTCACATCCAGTCACACTGTGGGCTGCGTAGGTGCCCTTAGAGGTGCCTGATGTTTTTGGCAGAGGTGCCCCTGCCCACACTGCTTTGTGAGGGAGAGGATGATGAGGACTCATGGGGGTCATTATGAGCTGATGCGCTGGGACGAAGGGGCAAAGACTGGACAGACAGGCGGACGAAGGGAGTCCAGAAGAGAGAGAAAGGTGTTGTGTGAGGTTTTTTAATCTCGTGTAGGTGAACTGACAGATCTCTCTGGTTGAGGAGAACTATCGGCTACAGCCTGCCAGCGTCCTGCTGGCTAACGGCATCAGTCCACCAGGGGGCGGCATAGCTAAACTGAAATGCCCCACATTTGAGACTGAAAGGGCCTGTTTCATCTCAAAATCGGTTCACCTCACCAAACCTGTTACCCCGTTGAGACCTGTGCATCATGGTCACACAGATTTAGCCCTTTGGAGCTTATGTACACACAAATATACGAACACACACACCTCAACGGACAATCTCTTGCCTGCCCTTGAAGCCGGTGACTCCGAAGCCTTGTACTCATCCTACCTGAGGCTTACCGTTTAAAGAAATAAAAAAAAAAAAAAAGAAATCGCTGCTGCTACAGTATTTAAAAGAATTTAATTTTGTATCCTTACTTTTGTGCACTATAAGCTGTTGTAAATTTGGAGGGAAATTGAGACCAAACCCAAGGAAAAGGGAGAGAAACCTGCGGTTTGTTTACTCGCTGTGGTCTGTTCTGGTGGGCTGTGCCTGTGCTAAGCTTGAATGTAGTGTTTTTTTTTGTTTTTTTTTGTTTTGTTTGTTTTTTTTTATAGTGTTTTGTATGTTTGTGTGGGAGTTACTAAAAAGACATGTTGCCATTTGACACTGATCTGAGGCCAGTTTAGTCTGTTCACTAAAAGTGATTAAAATTGAGGGCTTGGTTAGGAGGAGCTTGTCTTAGATCAGCGCAAAAGCGTTTCTCTGTGAGTGACTGAGAGAGCAGTTATCATCACTATACACATGCATCTGGTGGGTCGCGTGCTTGTCCCTTTCTGCTCTGTGTTTCGAAGACAAAAAAAAAAAGTTATGCACCACATTTTTCTGGACACTAAGTGAAACTGTAGCAATGTTGTACTGTTCCTCCTAATCAAGGAATGACTAAAATATAAAGTAACAGAAAGTTGCAAGTTAAAACGAGAGCCATTTCATTGTTTGGACATGGTTAATGTTTTATTTTGTGTTTGTCTCATTTGAACATTACGCAATAGCATTATATACTCAAAACCATGATTTTATTATTTTTTTTGTTTTGCTTTTATTTCTTTGTTTTTCTATCAGAAATGGTTCCTTGACATTGCTGTATGTTTATTGTTTAATGATGTTCCTTGAAATAATAGTGCCATTTATTTTTCTTTTTTTGTATGATTTATTTTTTTGCCTTCTTTTCTCATGGAATACACCATGTTACTTATCAGTAACAATCTAACACGTTCAGAGGTACAAATAGTTAGCTAGCTAACGAGTATTTTCTGAGGTTCCAGTCAGGTTCCGCAATGTCTAATGGCTTAGGTCTTTTTTTCAAATGGCTGATGATGATGATGATGATGATGATGAAGGAACATTTTTGATTTAGAACGTTAAAATAATGAACCCAGAAATGTAATATATAGTTATCTGTACTAGTGGCTAAAACTTGTCACTTAGTGAATAATTGTTGTAAAGAAATGCACTGTCCAAGTCAAATCCCATGGGTTAAATAAAAAGATATGTCTATGAGAGCTGCATAGCGTTGTTGTTTTCGTTTGTTTTTTATAATAACAAAATAAGAATTTAAATAATTTTGTGAGTAGTAGATTTAACTCATTCATTTTTGTGGTCTGCCCCAATTTTATTTATTCAATATAATCGGTAGATTACTCTATTACTAATAACATTCAATAGTGGCAAAACAAGAAGAGCTGTTATAATTTATTACATAACATCAAAATGCTTCACTTAAATTACAGTTAGCAAGAAGCTTTAAGAAATGGCCATAACTGTTCATTGCTGGGGGTAAAGTTGTTGGGCTATACTTAGTTCGTCATAATATTTTTTTTGGGGCACGAAAAAGAAAGTATTTGCCTTAAAATCTTAAAAATATGTTGGAAGGAACTTTCTCCCAGGGGTTGTTGTACACACACACTCTGTCTGACACCTGCTCATCCAACAGCTCTTCTGAAATCAAAAGGGTATTAATAAGACATTTGTCCACCCTTTGCTGATGTAACAGCCTCTACTGTAATCTGGGGACCCCAGTCTTGTCTACAAAGGGCTGCTGCGTAGCCAAGCAGGCGCTCGCTCAGGGCTCGATTTGAGGGAGGTGTAAGAGGATGCCGTCCCCTTGGTTTGAAAAACAAACCAAAAGGCAAAAAAACATTGCCTTTGTAAAACTACCACCTCGTCCCACCCTCGTCCATTCTTTCTGGATTAATGTCAGTGTGAGATAGTCAGACGTGTACTGTTTATATTTGTCAGTGGCTCCCAAACTGGCCATTATTGCGGTTAAGCTGATTAGAATTGCAGAGAGCTTATACAAATAGGCTCTTGAAATGCGGGACATCTGAAGCGTCCTTGTTTTAACCTGTGCTAAAACGTAATTGTAACTACAGTTCGTTACAGACCCCAGCGTGCTGTTCAAACTCACCACCCCCCCCCCACCCCCCCTTGATTTTCTTAAAATTTGACCACTGAGCTCACCCTATATAACTAACTTTGGGACAAACAAGTGGAATCAGGTGAGCTCCTGCTTGTTTGGAATGAAAACCTGCAGCCACACCGACCCCAAGACTGATGATCCCGACACTAGATGTTGAAACATTGCTGTGAGAATTTGACTGCATTCAGCCGCAAGAGGATCATCAGTGAGGTCAGGTACTGATGTTGATTAGTTGTGGATCACAAACACTACTCCACCTCACCCCAATGGTATTTGATGGAGCTCCATCAAGACGTAGAAGTTTTAAAAGCGGCATACAGTACTAAAGATCTTGGGTTTCTTGGGTCTACTTGGATGTTTTACGTCAAAAATGTTGACACACTGGAAACTATTGTTCTAGATAAATCTCGTCTTAGCCTAGCTAAGCTGCTGCATCACTAGCATATCAGTCTCAAGCACATTATGTGAGTGACGTGCTCCTGATATTTGCTCATGTCATTAAACACGGGTATGATTGCGTCAGAATGATGATGCACGTTACTAACAAACGCAGAGTAAAAATGGTTTTGGCAACCGTAATATAGTGTGTTAGAGAGGCTGCTCAAGCAGTCCACTATAGTCATGGTAGCCAGCAGGCCTGAGAACAATGTAAACACACAGGCTAGCCTTCATGGCGCAGCATTTTTCATGCCATGCTGTCATGCCTTAAACAAATATTTAACCGTAGTAAAAAAGAAAGATGTGTTTGTGTTATCTACATCATTTAAATAAACACACCTGTGCCATTAGCACAGAACTTCCACAAAGCCTCAGACAGTTTATATATATATATATATATATATCTCGCTGCTGTCAGAGCAAAACAGTAATGGTAACTTTACAGGAGAAGGAAAAAACATACTTTAATTTTAATGTAAGTCAATGGAACCAGACTTTGGGCCGTTTCTTTTGGTCTGTTCATCATGAAATGTACACACAATGTAAAGAGCAACAGGCATTTTCCAGACGTCAAAAACTGAAAATTATGAAAAGCTGCCAAAAATTGAAAGACAAAGTTTTGTTCCAATAGCAGCGAGAGTACAACCCTGTTACCCAAAAAATAGACTAAAAGTAAATCATTAGAATGTCCTTAATGGCCTCTTGCCATTAGCATGGATGCTAGTTAATTACATTTTGTGTATTTGCTAATTCTACGCTAAAAAGTTACTCATACTTAAACATTTTTGAACGGTTGAATGCATGTTTTCTTAGATTCAACGAGTTACAAGGGCTAAATGGCACCCCAATCATGGAATCACCCGTCTGTTCTCAGGCCCCTCCAGTATTGTTTTTGATGTATTATTTTTGGTGTTTTTGTCTTGCTTTTAGGCTGGTCTTAATGAATTATTTGACTGGAAAACATTAAAGCAATCTGGCAACCATGCTTGTGGAAGGCGTCTGGTGCCGAGACCAGTGTTTGACCAATAGCTATACTGGTATCACTACAAAGTAATTGTGCCTTCTTTTCTTTTCTTTGTCTTTTGTTTCACTTCCCGACTCCACAGAGCCACTGGGCCCCTGAGATTACATTCTGCACTTGAGACGTATTGTTTGCTCTTTTTTTGCTCTGCACCAGTCGAAAGATCAAAGGAAGATGGATGCATGAACAACACGTGATAAATGGATGAATGGAATAGTTTCTTGTAGTTTAGTGAGGTTAATGATACGCCTGTTCGTAGTGGCTATCAAAGGTTTTGCGGTTCATGGCACAAGGTCAAGTGTGCGCTGTATCCTGTTTCCAAAAAGACTGTGGGATTTTGGAATTTCTCTTACAATACAAGCATAAACTCTCTCACTGCCACTTTAACTAGACAATAAACAAACGAGAAGTTGCGCAACTTAGTACAAGAGCAGGGAAAGTGAGAGCAATGGGAGCTTGAGAGTTCAAGCATGAATGTCAATAGGTTTTCGTGCAGTAGATGAAGATTGAGAAGCAGTGTTAGGAGCACCAGGGTGAAGAGCATTTCTTGTGCTTTGGGTGAAAACATGAAATCTTACCATATGTATGGCTTGATAAATCAAGGACCAGCAAAATCAATGGGTTTCTATGGAAGAATGAAAGAAACTTGAGCAGGGTTAGACAGATAAGCACTATAACATGAAATGCAGTCATGGAAAAATGCAGTTTGGATAGATTTGGCGACCATGGCACAAAGATTCACAAAATCAGTGGCATTCTGTAGGTTGATAGAAGGATCAAAAGTTTGAATTGTTAAAGGAGTGCAAGCATGTATGAATGCAGTTTCGCATTTCTGAGAGTTCCTGATTCCAGTGAAACTCTGACCTGTGGCATCACTACAGTGCTGGAAATCGTGTTATTTCCTTCACCATTTGAAAGACTGATTATTGCTATTATTCCATTTAAAATCTCATTTAAAAGTCAGGCACCAGTTGAATTCCTTTTAACTAAAAAAATACATAAACTGGCTGCCTTAAAATAGGAAGTTAACAGAGCAGCGAACTTTGTTTCACATTCTGTTACTTTATTATTTGAATTTCAGTGAACTCAAAATCTTAAACCAAACAGGGGCCGGATTCACAAATGTGTCTTAAGAAAGAAAATCTTCTTAAAAGCGTTTTATTTTTTAACTTCATTCTTAAGAAAAGATTTACAAGAAATGGTCAATAAATAATGTCTTAAGAATTCTCTTATTTTCTTTTCTTAACTTTTTTCTTAAGAATAATTCTAAGAACAACTGGTATTCTTGAAAATGTTATGTTCTTGAATGTTTTCTTTTCTTCTGAGCAGATTAAGCTAAATAAAGGAAGTTAGTACTAAATTAACACCTAATTCTAAATGTATCTTGCATCGTTTATGGTACGTGATAAAATGCATCGTAGCGTACACGAGGAAATAAAAGTGAATAAAAGAATATCTTAAGAAAATAATTAAGGCTACCTTAAGGTAATATTTGAGGACTTCTTTTTTTTTTCGACCATTGAATTTAAGAACATTCTTATGAACTCCTTAGTGTTTGTCTTAAGAACCTTCACAAGTCTTTTCTTAAGAAAGCTTTTGTGAATCTGGCCCCAGGTTACTAACCTTTTTTAAGTTAAAACACTGAATCATTTTCACAGTGTAGTGCCAGTGCTAATGGTGTATCAGAAGAAGAGGACACTATCTGTTTTTTCAGGTCAGATTCTTTAGGAAACATCTCAATGCATCACAAAATCTCTTTGTGTATGATTCAAAAATGCAGGGGTGGAACACAGACGCTCAGGAGCAAAGCACTGGAATAAAAGCTTGGGTAATGTCCGTCACACAGAGTCAAGACAAATATGGATTTCCTGACCAGTGCTGCACGTTTGAATGTCATAGCTGGTCCAGAACCATCTGCAATGCTTTCAGTGCTATTTCTTTCCTTGATGCAGTTGGTTGGTGCTACCAGCCCCAAATGTCCTATGAAACACCATGCAAAGATGATAAAAGATTACTGAACTTCATAACATTATTTAATGCCAAATTATTAAAATGTGTCCAATATTAAAACCACTGTATATTTTACAAATTATGCCTACTTTTCTTATTAACTACCACACCTATCCAAAGACTCATATGGTAAAAATGTAAACATTTCTTTAATGGAATATTAAACAAAGAGCATAAAGGATATTGTTGTGAGAGGAGCATTCTTTAAAAAATGAACCCACATTCCTTCCACGTTAGAAATAAAGGGTCTGTGCAGGTACGTTTTACATTCATCAAGGTACAAACAATGTAACAATGTACCCTCAAAGGTACAGCAGTGGTTTTAAGGTCCAATTGTTGAAACTTAAATAGGTTTTTCCAGGTGAAAAGTACGTATTTGTACCTTTTCATAACCTAATGTTTTAAAACAGATCAATAAAATAAACAGCCTGGAGACGAGACGGGGTGTGTGGAGTCGATACAACTTAGAAAATATAATTTCAATGGATTATGGTATAATTATGTTCCCTGACTAAAGGTACTGAGATGTACCCTTGAGGGTACCGGCCCAGTGACAAGAGGGGTACTGCCCCAGTGACAGTGTCATACTTTTATTTGAGAGTTTACAGCAGAGAACTGAACTTTACAAAAGTTTAAGAATGATGTAATGGCGATCTAATAATAACGTAATATAATTATAAGACTGCACTAATAATAATAATGTGATAATAATGTAAGACCAGTGAAATATTTTCCTACATCCAACCCAAGAATCACTGAGGAATGTTTTTCTTTAAGAATGTATGTCTCTCTTACATTTAGTCAAAAACATGAAGCTTCCCTCTTCAGTAAACACAAATTAGATCCTTAATGACCACTGGGAATCTAATATGTTTTTACAGAAGAAGGTAAGCATGGTTGATGCATCATTTAAGTTGAGAATGGTTGTTAGTGGCTCCTGAGTGCTTACCTCACCCAGGCCCTGACCATGGTGCTGAAATCCAAATCCAGCGTTCATACTTGGCTTCTCGTCTAGAAAGCAGTGATAAAGAAGTAAGTGGTTAATAGTTACATGGACTCAAGTAAAGTTCTGATGGATGTGTACATCTCTGAGTATTTTCAAATTACTTTTACTTCTACGCAGGAACATTTGTGAGGAAAGAAAATTTTACCTTTCGAGTTGAGTTAGGTTTAATTTCATTCTATCCTGTTAGTGACAGCAGCTGGACTGCTTTGCTATTGATCCCACCTCTCACTTACAAACTTCAGTATTTTATTTTAGACCAAAGGGATCCCAAAAAGAGAAGAACAGAGCCTAACAAATTTAATTTCGGTTGCTGGCAGATGCTAAATGTGCTAAGAAGTTCTACTGTAGTTCTAAAGTGAACTCAGCACTCTTTTTTACTGTCACTCAAGTTGTTTTTGTTAGGCTATATTTACATCTACTTGAATCATTATGTCTGTGAAGTGACAGTATTTTTATTTAAGTAAAAGTACTGTTAATGTCATTGTGGTTGTTACCAGGGTATGAATATTGTGCCATTCAGGTGTAAAATGCATTCTGTTACATTGAACAACATCAGTAACACCACGGACCGTCGCTCCACTGACAAAATTACTCAAATTTGATCTTTTATAAAATACAGTCCACTGCCAAAGTCACACTGTACATAGAAAATTACATTGTATTCATATTATTTTATTTCAATTTCAAAATCACTTCATGCGTCATGAGTAACACCACTGACACCATCTTTCTGTGTTGTCAATATTTTAGCCAAATATAAAAAGAGATTTCATTAACTGTGGACTTCTCAGAGTTACTCTTTCTTCCTTTCAAATATCCATACAATCCATACATAAATTCCTTTTGTTAATGACATTTTGTTTCTGCAACACCGCTGACAAAATTTATTATCAAAATAAAAACGTATTTATGTATTTAAAATGAATTTATAATACAGGACAGACAATAATCTTAATGTAATGTTACAATTCATATTATAATTAAAACTGAAAAACAAGCATCAATGATGTTTCACATAAAAATAATTCTTCAGAAACTGAGACTAAAGTTCTTTTGCTTTAAATGACACTGTACCTTAATTATGTGCATTCAATTTATTCACTACAAAAACAATTAGAACACTACCAAAACTTTACCAAATGTTTCAGTAGTGACTGTTTCGGTAGTGACAATTTTAGCTAATTTTGAGCAGAGGAATTTAAGAACGCTAGCCAGAACCTGACTAGTAAACACAGCTTTGATCAGTTATACACACATAAAAGCATAATATTTTCATTCAAACACAAAAATGTTTACTTCATTGCAGAAAATATGTGTTTCAGTAGTGACAGTTCTTAATGTTACACACTGATTTTCAGACTTTGGGACACATTTACATCAAAACAATGGGATCTCACTGCTCACCAAGTGGCCTTGGGGGACAGTTACAGTCTGGCGCCTCTGGCATCAGAACTGCTGCACCATTTAAGGTGGAACTGAAAATTCAAACAAGAAGCTGCCGAATGTGAAGTAGAAAAATTAGGGGTGGGCGAAAATAAATAATTGTTGCACCCCACCTTTTTGAAGGCATAAAAGTAACTTTACCCTCCTCTGCTATCACTGCAGAATGGCAGGGTTGCCTACAGAGCAGCGCTATCAGCCTGTTAATGAAATAATGTCCTTTTTTATTTGAGGGTCCCATTTCGTAGGGAAGATTTCAACCACTATTTGTTGTAACTCAGTTCCAAGGGGCAAGGTGACACTCGAAAACAAGGAGTAGGGGTAAAAATATGAAATGGGATTGGGCCTAAAACTCTATGTTTTGGTAGTGACATAACATGGGACAGCAATTTTAGCTTTTTTATTTAAAATGAAACTCAAACTTCATTTAAAGGGAGTAAAAAATATCTAAAAAAAATGAGAAAGTATTTATTTTGCAAGCTGAAATGTAGGAGATAGGGTTTGGTTTGTATACATCTATAGTCCGAATACTCTATGACATATTTGGTTTTACTGTGGGTCAGCAGATTGAACTAGTTTGGTGGAATGGACTATAGAAACAAGTCATTTCCAGTGAAAGAGTGCAGAGCCTGCATGAGGCTATTATTGTCCACAATATCAGTCTAAAACAGGCGCGTCTCTGTTACAGTGCTGACACACGCGGTCACCCTGTTCTTCCTTCTCCTCCCCCAGCGGTTCCATCTCGCCAGGCACCACATGTCCGGGCAGTTGAACGTGTACACGATGGGGTTTCCGATGGAGTTGAGCACGAGGAAGGCGTACGCCACGTTCTTGAAAACGATCACGCTCGTCTTGAGCTTTTCGGGGCACGAGCGGTGGGACGCGTCCCACAGCACTCCGGCCAGGAAGGGCGTGTAGGCCACCAGGGCCAAGCCCCAGATGATCCACGCAGTCCTGGTCACGCGCGTCTCGGCGCGCGCGCAGCTGGCGCTGCTGGAGTTCAGCTCCCTCAGCTTCACGATCACGGCCACGTAGGTCACCGAGAGAACGGCGAAGACCACGATGGTGTTGGGGACCACCACAAAGAGCAGGTAGTTGATGCACAGCGGGCCGTACAGCGTTGAAGCCAGTCCACCGTCCGCGCAGTTCCAGCCGAAGAGGGGCAAACTGCCCACGAGCACGGCCAGCGTCCAGCACAGGCCTAACACCTTCAGAACCCTGCTCTTGAGCTGGACGCGCCGCTTGCACACGCCGCGCACCGCCAGGTGGCGCTCCACGCCGATGGCCAGCACGCCGTAGGTGCCCGACAGGACGCCCGTGGTCAGCAGCGCGTAAAGGGGCAGCGGCACGTCCGTGGCGACCACCGAGTTGGCGGGGTCCAGTGCCGTGCGCACGCTCACGTACACCGACGTGGAGCTCGTGAGGGCATCCGAGAGCGCGAGGCTGCACAGCAGCGCGGTGAACGGCCCGCGGTAGGGGCGCGCGCGCGCCAGCACCAGCGCCACAGCCGCCGCGTTCAGGAGCAGCGAGAGCAGACTGGCGGCGCTCACGAGCTCCTCCAGCACCACGATGGCGCCCAGATTGTGCACGCTGCCGTTCAAGTTGAGCTCCTCCGCGCAGTCCATCGCGGGCGAGAGAAGGACAGAGATGTCCGGGTGAAACCGAGCACGGGGGATTTTGGTGCAGCTAAACAAACAAAACCAAAAAATGGCATGCAGTCACGCGCTCTCACCAAATATTTAACCGCGATAAGGACGGGGGCTGCGCGCCTGTGTTGTCTGTAACGTGACGGAAGAACCGAATGCCTAAAACGGTTTTGTACACCTGGACCATCTGCGCAAAACTTCAGAACAAACCCCCCACCACCCCCCAGCGCTTAGAGACCGTTAACGCTCACAGTGCTGAATTACCACCTACAGCACTGAATGAACATATCACAGTGTTGAATGAACACCAGTACTGAAATTTACAATGATGAAATTTACAATGATGAAATTTACAATGATGAAATTTACAATGCAGAATTAATGCATACAGTATTCAGTACTACAAATAGTAATATTTGTAGTGATGAATTTACAGTGCTGAATTATCAACACTTACAGACCTGAATTAACCCCCAGAGTGCATGATTAAAACCAACAGTACAGAATTAACACCTCTAGTCTATGATTAAAATCTTCCTGACTGAATTAACACCTAACGAACCCAAATAACACCTACAGTGTTGTATTAACGTCTAAAGCACTGAATTAACACCTATAGTGCATAATTAGAATCTACATTAATACCCACTGTGTTGAATTATGACCTAAATTTCTGAGGTAACACTCAATGAACACCTACAGTCATGTGAAGAAGTCAGTCCCCTCTCTGAAAGGTTTAGACCTTCAGTATGTCTGGATACAGATATCCTCTCTTCATTTCAACAATGCTGACAGATAAAGGTGATATACTTTAACAAGTGACACCCGAAATTAACATTTTTGTCACCCTTTGTATAACTGAAATAAACAGAAATGCATTTCCCTTATGTGGAATAACTAAGTACAGCCCTATATATATTCCTCAAATGTGCCAAATTGAGATCAGGTGCTAATGATTAGAACCGCATTAGAGAATATCTTGGAGGAACCTGTCTTTGTTGAACCTCAGATCGGATCTCGTTCACTCTTTGTTGTTAAATTGTGTGGTGTGATCATGTCTATGCAAATGAGCTCTCTGCGGCCTTCAGAAAGAAGGTTGTAGATGTCTCTGAGTCTGGGAAGGGGTTTGAGAAGTGTTTCTGAAATATTAGAAATTAATCCCTCCACTGGGAGATCATCTATGAGTAGAGATTTAAAACCAATGCCAATATGTGCAGGCCCAGCAAATTTAACCCAGGAGCAGACCACAAGATGCTAAAAGAAGGCCACCGAATTTAATCATAGGATCAAGTAGCTCTTGAACTTTGGATGTCCAAGTGCATGCATCTACCATTAGAATGGTACTGCATAAATTTGACCTGCAATGGAGGTGCATCAGGAGGAAGCTGGCTTTGCTGTCTAAAAAAGACATGAGAGCAAGAATAAGTTTGCTAATCAATATCTAGGCAAGGACCAGGACTTCTGGAACAATGTGATATGGACAGGCCAAAGACGAGTCAAAGACGAGAGTTGTTTGGCCAGAGTACCAGTTGTTTGGCGAAAACCAAAGAAAGCATTTGATCAGAAGAGTCTCACTAACTGTAAAACATGGTGGTAATGGTTTGGTATGGTTTTTTGGCTAGGCCAACTTATAATCACAGAATCGACTATGAATTCTTTTTCAAACCAAAGTGTTTAAGGAGAATGTGAGGCCATCTGCCAAAAAGTTGAAGCTGCAGAACTGGACCTTCCAACAGGATAAAGATCCCAAACCCATAAGTAAATCCACCAAAGAATGGCTCAAAATGAAAAAATTGAGTTCTGTGGAATGGCCCAGTCAAAGCCCAGATCTGAATCCCATTACAACGCTGTTGGGGGATTTGAAACGGGCTATACATGCAAGAAGCCCCTCAAACAGTGCACAGTTGAAAATTTCCACATGAAGAAGTGTGAAAAAATTTCTCCTAGCAGATGTGGGAAACTGCTAGACAGTTACAGGAAACCTACATGACGTTGTTTCTGTCAAAAAGAGCAAGATCAGTTGCTCAAGCCAGGGGTGTACTTACTTTTTGAATTAACAGCTATAGTGAGAAAAAAAAATTATATATATATATATATATATATATATATATATATATATATATATATATATATATATATATATATAGAAAGGTTCTTCTATTGTTACAATGTCAAGCTTGTACCAATAGAAGAACACTTTTTAGTACTATATAGAACTCTTTTCAAAAAGCCATCTACAGCACATTCTGCATCAATCTGAAGAACCCTTTCATGATGAACCCTTTAATCGTGCAAAGGGTTCTTTGAGTGTTCTTTACTAAAGAACCCTTGAAGAACCATCTTTATTAAGAGTGCAGTGTGAAAATTCAAAAAGTATCAAAATCAATAAAGTTCTGTTAGAGTTTGGAGGGCTGAATGAAAGAAGTTAGACAGACGAGTGCTACCAGTATGAAATACAGTTACGTGCTTTGGATCAAAAGTTGAATGTTTACACCAAATTGGTTTTAACTTGAAATGAGTAAAAAATAAACAGGTTTGCGGATGGCAGATACTAACTTTGCTGGCTCAAGCTTGCCAACTAGGCCAACAAGGCCTTGAAATATAAATCAAAGTCCATGATATAAAAAGTGGGGATAAAGGAGGAGTAAAGATGTGAAAATGAGATGAATACTTTGTTTCCCTACTTGGAGTCTCCACAGTAACTTTGATGGGTTTTAGATTAAAAGTTAAAAGCAGTTTGAACAAATGTCTATGGAAATACGCCTGTGGGAAAAACGAACAGATGGAGGGATGAAAAGAGGGGTGTGGCAGTATCTTTTTAGCACTTCTCTAAAACTACATGACAAGATTTCAAAGTTGGTGAGGAAAAAGTTGCATTAAACATCAACAGTGTGGAAATAACATTTACAGCGTTAAATAAACATCCGCCCTGCTAAATTAAAACATTTAAGCTGTTGCTTTAACATCTACAGTATACTAACATTGTTGAATCTACAGTAGCATCTTTGCCATTGCGCACAGGTGTAACACAGCTGCAGTACTTGGGTGTACCAACAGGTGTCAGCAACGCTCAGCGCCAAAGAGACCCTACATTCACAAGAAGGCTAAGCTGAAGGTCCCTGGTTTTCCGAAGGACCACCAGAGGTGGGTAGAACAGCCCACACCCACACTTAACTAATACTACTGTCACTTAAGTGAAATAATGGCTCAAGTAAAAGTACTCTAAAACTTGAGTAGAGGTCCAAAACTTAAATACCGAGTAGAAGTGCAGTGGAACTTCTTAGCACCATTAAGCATCAGCACAGAACATGAAGTTTTTTTGGTTTGTTCTCTTGTTGCACCCTTGGTCTAAAATAAAATGCTGAACCTTAAACGTTGTGTGTGACCAAACATGAAGCAGCGCAGATACTATCACTAGTATAACATGATGTAATAAAACATAATGATGGTAAATAAATTACTAACTAAATGGTTAATTCACATTTAGTTAGTAATTCATTTACCATCATTGTGTTTTAGTACATAACTGATTAAAACACTACTTTCCTTACTAAAATACTTGAGTAGAGGTACAAGTACCATTTGAAAATACTCAGGAAAGTAAACATCCATTAAAATAGAACTCGAGTAAATGAAACTAAGTAAATGCTGCTAGTTACTACACATCTCGAGGACCAGTGCCCCACTAAAAGATAAGAAGCTAGAACAGGGCCTACACAGCCTTTGCTGTAATACTTTTTGATACATTCTGTGGATACTTACACTTGTGTGCAAAAGATTAAACACCCCTGGTCATGTTTTGTTGATCTTCAGATTTAAAATAAGTTAACACATCCACCACAAGGAATAAACATAAATAGGGCATCTTCTGCAAATTTTAGTGTACACTTTTTATTTTTTATGACATAAAATCCAAAAAAATAAAACAAAATATAAAACATAACTATTGCAAAGGCTACAATTTGTTGTTTTATTTTTTTTAATTCAGAGAATGAACAGGAACTGTCCATTAAGGTATGCAAGAGTGTGTTCTCTGTAGAGGAAAGAGACTTATTTTCACTTACAAAATCAATAAAACATATAACTTGACCAGGGTGCCCAAACTTTTGCACATGATTAAGATGTACAGAGCAGTGGTGGTTTCATGTACGAAATTCTGACTAGCTGACCCTGATAAACAGCTATAGGAGGGCTTTACACGAGAGTTTGTGGGGTGACCGCTGCCAAGGTGTGCTGATTGCCCCACAGCAGCAATACAAGTTCCCTCCACAGCATGAGGTGCTGAGTCAGGAGGCATCACTAACACACCCATATAAAATACAGGAATGTCCAGAGAGAGACGCAGTGGAAGTGTGAGAAATGTGCAAACTGATCCAAGCGGCAGCACGGTCACCAGAAAGACAGCTCAGTGTTAACACTTCTTATTGTGTTTTAATGTGGACTTATTATCCATGTCTATATCTATACACTAACATTCAAAAGTTTGGAATCACATGCCATAGTTTCAATTACTGTTGTATCATATACATTAATAACTTGCACAGTGTGAAGTTATATATGGCAAACTATTTGCTAACACTTTATTCAATGTTTCATTCAATATTTCAAGAATTCTGTAAACATGACAAGAATAAAAAGATAAATAACATACTGTAGTTAGCTATTTATTATCATTTTAATATCTTCTACAGCTCAAATTTTAAGTATAAATATACAGTCATGTTTTGTGAAAATTAGTGAACACATCTACAGAGAGCACACTTCTGCACATTTTAATGCACAATTGGCTGAATTTTGTTAATTTGCTGAAAAAAACAAAACAAATGCAAATGTTATGGCATATTTTACATTTAAATTTTTCACAATATGTTAAACCCAGCAAATAAAATGAAATTTAGCAATAAACTTGGAGGGGGGCATATTTACATTGATAACTTCTGTGGTAACTTATTTTCACTTGGAAAACCAACAAAACATAA